AGGTTCAAGTGTTCTTCACAGATCCTTATTTTTTATCTTATGAAATTTTAGGACTCAGTTCTTTCTTGACAGTTCTAGGAAAGGACTATGGTCTGCAAATTGCTCATTAGAAGCTAGATTGCTGTATGAAGATGCTAATAGCAGTTAATACTTACACAGGACTTACTATGTGCCAGGTACTTCATATGTATATGCTAATTCAATCCTCACAACAGCCATCTGAGGTAGGTTTACTGCTGTGCTTCATCATACCTGAGATGTGTTGATGGTACATTCTTGATCTTGTTAGAGGACACGAATCAAAGATGTTCATACAACTGTATCTCCAATGCCCCCTGATTTAATAGCAACTGTAAGGTATCGTGAGTTGTAAGACTGTGAAATGTAAGATGCACCCCAATTTTAAACAGAAGTTAAAATAAGAAAGTGGATGCACATTAGAATTAATAAACCTCCAATTTTCTCTTTCAACAATATGTTGAACTGAGCCCATGCTAACATGTGGATAGACTGCCAAGACCAGTTACTCATCGCCTCACGGTGCCGTCTGTGACAGAATGGCACTGACATCCTTCAGAAGGGAGAAGTGTGTGTGGTATTTGCCATCTGCCTCTAGGGCTATGATGAGCATTGTTGTATGAATGCAGGTGAAGTGGTTGGCCCATGGACATCTGACCTAGGCTTCTGACCCATTTTTAGCAAGAGCAATGCAATTGGGAAGCCTTGATGACTGGCTTCCCAAGCATCCATAGTCTGGCGTACTTATTGAAAATGCTATGCACAAAATAATGTTTGGGTGCCCCAAATGTCAAATTCTGCACTAGGTTTTTATGTTTTCCTCTCTGTTCTAAAATACTGACATAAAACATAATTTATATTATTGAGTGAAGTTTTTTTTATTTCTTCTCTCTTTTTTTTTTCCTTTCTGGAAAACAGGCCCCAGTAACAATACTCGAGACTTGAGTAACAAAATTAAGAAACAAAAATAATTTTTTGTATGTGAAGATGGTTCTATATGAAAACCTACCTGCAGTCGAAACTTCACATATAGTTATCTTCATTTAGTGGTGATCAGCAGTGGTGAGACAGCCACATGTGGGACTGCAGGTTGGGTTTGGGGTTGTCGTTTTCTGTGGATTAGGATTATTTTCTGCTGAAAGATGGAATAGTTCCGTTAATTCCAGGCTTTGACTCTCTGGACAAGTTCAAATAAGGAGCCTGTCACCATCAATAACCTGCCCAAACCCTGAAAAATCCTTGTTATCACTTTGAAGACTTGCCTGCCCCTGACTCCTTCTGCTTCCTTACTCTTTAGACTTCTGGTCTCTGTTAGCCCAGATCAGCTTGGTCACTGTAGCCAGTTTAGGACAAATACTACATAACCCCCTAATTTGCTAAGTTTCCCCAACTGGACTCTTTATTTTATTATTCACTTATATATTTGTAATATGTTTTAAAATTGATTTGAGAGAGAGAGAGAGGGAGAGAGAGAGAGAGAGAGAGAGAGAGAGAGAGAGAGAGAGAGAGAGAGAGAAAAGGAGAGGGAGAGAGAGAGAAACATTGATAAGACAGAAACAATGATGGGCTGCTCGTGCACGCCCCCTAATGAGTATTGAGCCTGAAACCCCGGGCAATCCAGGCAAGTGCCTGGACTGAGAATCCAACTGGGCAGTCTCTAGGGCTGTGTGTTTTGGGTCGAAGCTCAACCAACTGAGCCACACTGGCCAGGCCTGAACTCTTTATTTTATTGTCTGATCATGGCTTGATGTGTTTTTGCCAGGTCCCTGAGATAAACGGGAGGTGCTTCTCAACCAAGGAAGCCGTTGTCACTCACCAATCTTTTCCCTATTGTTCATTCACCTTTCCCAATTATTTATTGAGTGTTCTCTGCCAGTACTGCTTTCTCCCAAACTGTTTACTGTGCAAGCAGTTCAGGTGTAGACAGAAACGATGCTGTGGTGGAGATACATTTTGGGTACAGACTAATTACAATTGGGGTAATTATAAGTAAAAATTTAAGTTTGTTGGTTCAGTGTAAGTTTAAAGCAACAAATCATTGCTTTTGCTGCTGCTTCTTCTTATGTTATATTTCTAGTCTTGAACTGTTTGAACATCTGATCTGTCAATTTGGACTGTTCTAAACCAATTTTTATCAGTGTAGGCCAGTAAAAACCATTTTATAGATGACTTGAACTATTTACACGCAGTTTGATAAAATTAGAGCAAGTATGACCCAGCTAGAGATGGATTTAATTGGTCAGCACTAGCTTGATTCAGTAAAATATATTCTGAATCAATCAAACCTTCTGTGAGCCAGTCAGAACCTGCTTTTCCCGATCTGAACTTATTAGAGCTAGGTAAAAGCAGTCTGAAGCAATTTGAGCTATCAAAACCAGACCCACTTTAGGACAGCCTGGATGGGCCTGGAGAATATTATGCTAAGTGAAATAAGCCAATCCGAGAAAGACAAATATCACATGATTTACTTATTTGTGGAATCTAATGAGCAAAATGAATTGACCAATAAAATAAGACCTGAAGCATGGAGACATGGAGCAGACTGACATACTTTGATGTGGGAGTGGGTGGACGAGAAGAGATAAACCAAAGAACTTATATGCCCATATGCATAGCCCATGGACATGAGCAATAGGGTGGTGAAGACCTGGGGGAGGTGGGTAGAGGTTGGGAGGAGGGAGGTAAAGGGGGTAGGGGGTAAATGGGAGACATCTACAATGCTATCAACAATAAAAAATATACATTAAAAAAAACAACAACACAGACCCAAATAGCCCTGGCTGATGTGCTCTGTGGTTAGAACCTCGGCCTGTGCACCAAAAGGGTTGCTGGTTTGATTCCCGGTAAAGGGCATGTACCTGGGTTGCAGGTTTGATCCTGGCCCTGGTCTGTGCATGTGCGAGAGGCAACCAATCGATGTGAGAGAGACACATCGATGTTTCTCTCTTTTTTCCCCTTCTACTCTCTCTTAAAAATATCAATGGAAAAATAGTATTGAGTGAGAATTAACCAAAAAATAAAAGAAAGAAACAAACAAACAAAGCCCAGACCCAAATAATTTTGATTGTCTGGTTTTAACCAGGGTGGTTTTAGATCAGTCAGAGATGGTTTTCTAGGTAGAACCTCTTTTACTCAACTCTTTCACTCTGAATTAGTATGAACCATTCGAATTCTTTTGAACAAGTATGAGTTTGTTAGAACAGATTGCCGTGTTTCATACAAATCTGAATCGGCTTTTAAGCTGGTCATAACTTTTGAAATTAACATATCTCTTTTAAATGAATTGAAAATCATTTGAACCTGCCAAAAAAGTAGTTTGAAAGTGATCCTTGTTGACTCAGCAAACTGTTGTGAGCCAGTCAGCAATCATTTGTGCTTTACATTTTGAGCCCTGGCCAGTGTTGCTCAGTTGGCTGAGCATTACCCTATGTACTGAAAGGTTGCTGGTTCAATTCCAGGTCATGGTTCCTTGAATTCTTTCTTTCTATAACAATAAAATAAAAACAATTAAAAGTAGTACTAAATATATGTTTTGAGCTTCTCAGTGGCAATTTCAGAAATTGTTCTAGGTCTTCAGAGTCAGTCTGCTCTGTCCATAATGGGGAGAAAGGAATAAACTAATGTTTACTGAGTACCCAGGATATGCCAAGCATTGTGCTGGGCATTCCACAAAGAGTATCCCATTCACCCTGGCCGGCGTGGCTCAGTGTTTTAGCGTTGACCTATGAACCAGGAGGTCATGGTTCAATTCCCGATCAGGGCACATGCCTGCATCACAGGTTCGATCCCCAGTAGGGGGCATGCAGGAGGCAGCCGATCAACAATTCTCTATAATCATTGATGTTTCTATCTCTCCATCTCCCTTCCCCTCTGAAATCAATAAAAATATATTTTTTAAAAAAGAGTATCCCATTCAATCCTTAGAACAATGTCTTGCGATAGTGCATGTTATCTTCTTTTTCATAGAATGGAAACATGAAATACAAGGCTTAAATCCCCTGAATGTGGGTAGATGGTGTGTGAGAAACATGGGGACTCAACCCAGCTCTGCTTTTTTTTGTGTTAATCCTCACCTGAGAAAATTTTTTCCATTGGTTTTTAGAGTGGAAGTGATAGGGAGAGACACAGAGAGAGAAACATTGATGTGAGAGAGACACACAGATTGATTGCCTCCCACATGCACCTCAACCGAATCGAACCACAGACCCTTCAGTCTGCAAGCCAAGCTCTAACAACTTAGCCAAACTGGCTGGGGCTATATCTAGTTGCTTTTAAGCCCAACATGCATTTGTAAAAACGTGAGTGATGGACACAAAGTTTGGGCTAGAATGGACACTGGGCTTGGAGTTAGGAGACCTGCATTCTTGGTTGTGCAAATGAATTAACCTTTCTGAGTTCTATTTGTCCTTTAGAAAACTGAGCCCAGAGAATGAAAGGTCTGAACATTTATTTTCAGATACGGCAGATCATTGTCTAAAGGTACAGTCTGAAGAATGCAAACTGTAATGAATATTGATGTTGGCATTTCTATCCTTTCAGTTATAGTATTTGGTTTATTAACACTTCCTTTATGATGGCTTGGTTTAGGAACAAACTTATGTATTGCTATCAGCATGAATAGAAAACAAAACCCACGAAGATCATCTGTAGACTTACATGTGTGATTCTTCTCCCATGATACCATTAACTTTTGATGCAACAGAGATCGTTTCATCTGTCTTTACATTCCACTCTAGAATTCTAGAATAGTGATACCATTGGTGACAGCATTTTCTTTTGTACCTTAAATTACATAAAGACATACTTTTAGAAATGACCAACTTTTTTTCAAATTAAATGTAAAGAGGAAATAAGGCAGCCACAGTGTCTTCTTGCATCACTGTCATTGCAGAATTTGGAGTTGCTTTCTGCTTCCTCATTCATTTTGAGGGGGACCCCCCAAAATGGTTAAACATTAACTGGATCTACTTTTCAATTCTTAGCTCTTATTTCTGAATAACTTGGAGCCAAGTGAGATGCTGCGATATGATACACTAGAATATTTATTTGCACCCAAGTGATCATCTTTTGGAGAAGAATTCTGTTATATACCACTAATATTGGCAGCCTACACCTGTGAATACAGAAACCATGGCATGGGAAAGCCATCATCTGTAAAATGTCATTCTTTATAGTGTGCAAACAGAATTATGAATGTTTGTAGAGGCTCTGCCCTTATCGACCGACCAGCCATATCTGAATGTGAAGTTAGTCTGCACTCGGACACTCTGAGGAAGTACATGGAGTAGCTCTTGGGTCTCAGCGATCAGGATTTTTGAGCATAAAGTGAGTCACCAAATTAAGGATGGGGTTGGGGTGGCAACCTTCAGAACCGATGACTGTCCTTGCCTGAGTTCTTATTAATTCTATGGATCTGTGGAAATAATTCTATAGGACATACTGAGAATTGTGGTAAAGTTTCTGGGTATGGGGCTGGGTGAAAAGGAGACAATGAGAAGAAAATCAGCAGCATCTAAGGTAAGAAATCTGATGTGTGTGTGGATGGGGGAATATGTATGTTTGAATGGGCAAGTAGAGTTGTCAGTGGTAATGGGATAGCTGATTATTTTTCTAATTTTCAGAAGGATTTCCTGGAATTAGATTTGGGAGGGTAAAGAGAAGCCTTCCTGGGAGATAGACTACATTTTTAGACAGACTGACATTTTGAATAGTTTGAATCTATTTAGAGGATAATAAAAAATCATGAAAAGTGCTGATTGCAATGGATAAAAAATAAGCATGGTTAGGTCTTGTTGGTAAAAATAATTTTTTTTCTCTAAAGTGGACTTTTGTGTTAGTTAACATCAAAGAGCTGAATAGGTAGCATTTCTTGTTAGAATATCAAGGCAAGAACAGGTCAATGAGCCCTTTGTTGTGAATTATGGTCTCTGTGCAGTGACTGCTCAGATCTAGAACTCAGTTTCCAAGTAAGCAGTGAGAGTCCAGAAAAGTCTGATTTAGTATGTGTCATGTAATAATAATAATAATAATAATAATAATAATTATAATAATAATAATAATAATAATAATAATAATAATAATAAAGCTGCAAGCCAGAAGTTACCTGCTAATTTAGCATTGTCTTTGAAGAAACTATAATGGCCTGGGAAAATGAATGGGATAAGTGAAATTGCCTAGATGTCCAAGTAAAAGGTGAGAAAAGCCAAGGATCCAGCACTTGGAGACTTTGAAAAAGTAGAGCTGGGGGAGGAATTGGAACCACTTATGCTCTAAGAATAGTTATTATTCCTGCAACATTCTTCTCTCTCTCTCTCTCTCTCTCTCTCTCTCTCTCTCTCTCTCTCTCTTTCTCTCTCTCTCTCTCATTAATTTTTGTTCAAATGATCTGCATAGAAGACTTAATGACCATTACCTTCTTAATTATCATTCTCACTTGGAATTTTTGTCTTAAGAGTACTATATTCAGTTTAAGCTGAACTGTTAGTTATTTACTATTTCAGTAGCAACTCTTCTACTACAAGAGGTCTTTAGGGGCAGTGAACAATATCTAATCCCCTCCTCACAGAATTGTTAGGCATATAGGTGTTACATAGACATACTTGTTGACTGGATATTAAAGTATGGAGAAGTCTAATATTTTGTAATGTTTGTTTTTTGCAGGTGAACCAGAATTCTTCATTATGTCTGATGGAGACTATGATTACCTCATCAAGTTTTTAGCTTTGGGAGACTCTGGAGTAGGAAAGACCAGTGTACTTTACCAGTACACAGATGGCAAATTCAACTCCAAATTTATCACAACAGTGGGCATTGATTTCAGGGAAAAGAGAGTGGTAAGTTCTATAGCCTCCTATCTAAAAATGTAATCTCTAAAAAAATAAAAGTAAAACTATAATCTCTGAGTCCACATTTGCCTGTCTGTTTAGTTTTCTTTGTAGGAATTAGGACAACAAAGGTTGGAATCTAAAATTAAAGGATACAGCCCTGGCCACCGTGGTTCAGTTGGTTGGGCACCATCCCATGTACCAAAAGGTTGGTGGTTTGATTTCCAGCCCAGGCACATGCCCTCTTGCAGGCTAAATGCCCAGTAGGGGGCATTCAGGAGGCAGCCAATTGATGTATTGCTCCCATTGATATTTCTGTCTCTCCCTTTCCTTTCCTCTCTCTCTAAAAATCGATTAAAATCTTTAAAAAATTAAATTAAAGCGTACATATGAAAGTGTATTATATTTATCCTGGCAATGTGATTTAAAGGGCTGTGCTGAGGGACAATTCATATATAACTAAGTAGACAAAGTAAAAGTGAAGCTTCTTTTTAATTTTTCCTTGATACCTTTTGGCTTCCATCTGAAGTCCACAGTTATTGCTCTGAAGCCTACAAAACATCCTGTCCCTTATACCCCTATTTTATCTGTTATATTTTCCACCTTAATGACTTTTCTCTTAGTTAAGGCCTCAGCAATCCCACGTGGACACTAAGTGGCAGAACTCGCTGCTGACGGGAGGGTGTGGTTGGAATAGGAATGGGGATGCTGGTAGTGTGTGTTGATCTGGGAAGTAACAAGGGAAACAGAAGTTCTGCAGAATGATGAGGGAAGGGGCTCTATTTTTTAAAAAACACACATACACACATTTTTATTGATTTCAGAGAGGAAGGGAGAGGGAAAGAGAGACAGAAATATCAATGAGAGAGTATCATCAATTGGCTGCCTCCTGCATACCCCCAACTGGGGATCAAGCCCACAACCCAGGCATGTGCCCTGAATCAAACCCAGGACCCTTCAGTCCACAGGCTGATGCTCTATCCACTGAGCCAAATCGATTAGGGCAAGAGGCTCTTTTTTTTGTTTTTGATTTTTAAAGGATCACACGACCAAAAAATATTCTGGTGGTGGAGGGGAAGGCAGGAGGTCGCTGTGTCAGAGTTGCAGAGGAATGAAGATGGCTTTTTCCATGAACTATATTTCTTGCTAAAAAATTGACTGTTACCATGAATCCGGTCAGGAAGTAGTCAGGAGATCAATGACAAAGACCCTGCCATGGAACATGTTCTACCTGGGAAAGATGCAGCGCCCCTGGCTTCAGGACAGAAGCATTCATTCCCTTCTATCCGCCATAGGTGTTTTCTTCTATTACCAGGGAGTCTTCTAGAGACTCAGACCCACTGAGTAATAATAGGATCTTTATGAAAGTCTCAATATTGACATATAGTTGGTAGAATTAATATATATATGTGATTATATTTATTTACTAATTCCCATTTTATAACCTTGTTTTTAAAAAATAGCTTTCTTGTGATATAATTCACTTAACATAAGCTTCACCCATTTAAAGTGTATAATTCAGTGGTTTTTAGTATACTTACAGTTGTGCAACTATCACCACTATTTAATTTTAGAGCACTTCATCCACCCGAAAAGAAACCTCATACTCTTTTGCAGTCATTCTCCGTTTCCCCTCCCCCCAGCCACCAGTCTATTCTGGAAAGATTTGCCTATTCTGGACATATATAAATGGAATCATACAATATGTGGCCTTTTGTGTCTAGCCTCTTTCACTTAGCATATTTTTGAGGATCATTCAAGTTGTAGCATGTATCAGAACTTCATTCTGTTTTATGATCAAATCATATTTCATTGTACTTATATACGTACCACATTTTGTGTATCCATTCATCTGTTGGTGGACCTTTGGGTTGTTTGTTTTATGTATAATGTTTCTATTAACATTCATATATATATATATATATATATATATATATATATATATATATATATATTGTGCATGGACTTATTATCATATCTCTTATGCGAGGACTTATGTTTTCAAATATCTTATGCATATGCCTAGGAACTTCCAAAATTTTCCAAAGATGCTGCACTATTTTACATTTCCAGAAATATAAGGGTCCCAATTTCTTCATATTCTCACCACTTTTGTTATTATTGATTTGATGAAAGCCATTCTAGTGGGTGTGAAATGGTATCTCATTGTAGGTTTGACTTAAATTTCCCTCATGAATGTTGTTGAGCAATCATCTTTTCATGCGCTTTATTGCCCATTTGTATATTGTCTTTGGAGAAATGTCTAATCAGGTTCCTTGTCTATTTATTTAAATATACTCTTTATTGCCTTTATCTATTTTGAAGTTGGTTATCTTTTTGTTAAATTTTAAGAGTTTTAAATATATTCTAGATAAGTGTTCTCATTAGATATATGATATGCAAATGGTTTTAGCTCTTACATTTAGGACTATGATCCATTTTGAGCTATTTTTTGTGTGTGTGCATAGTATGAATAGGGATCCAATTTCATTCTTTTGCATGTGGATACCCTATTGCCCTAGCACAATTTGTTGAAAAGACCATTTTATCTCCCATTGAGTGGTCTTGGCACTCTTATTGAAAATCAGTTGACAATAAATGTAAGGTTTATTTTTGAACTCACAATTCGATTCTATTTAACTATATGCCTATCCTTATGCCAGTACTTTTCTATCTTGATTACTGTAACTTTGTAGTAACTTTTGAAATTGGAAAGTATGAGTCCTCATTTTTTCAAGATTGTTTTGAATTCCTTGCAATTCCATATGAATTTTAAGGTCAGTTTGTCACTTTCTACAAAGAATCTAGTTGAGATTTTGATAGGGCTTGCATTGTGTATATGTGTGTGTGCTGTGACATGTGCTTAATACTCTAGTAGATGGTTTATAAATCTGTCTTAGCCTTCACTTCATGCTTGAGAAGAGCCTCAAGGTCAGCCAGAGGAGTGAGCTTAGGGATTTTTCAGATGTTTCCTGGGCATATGTACAGCCCTAAACATGAGCATGGCCTAATAGATAACAAGGAATATTTTGGAGCTTTTCAAATCGCTGTATAGACATCTCATTTCCTGTTTTGTTTTTTCTTTTTTTAAGTCTTTTTGGTTAGATTTTTTGTTAGCCCCAACTGGCATTTTTTGCCTTTGGTAACTGTAATGTTAAATACTTGATGCTAATTATTTTCAACAATGCCCAAGGGATAGGGTTATTCTCATAGAGCAAGCTTTGAGGCAGGTAAAATAAAGACCAGGCCTGGGAATGAGGCTTTACACGCAGATTTCAGTTCTCTGGGGATGAGATTTTAGGGGCAGCTCCAAACCTGTTTTGCCTCCACTGCTGCTATACTGATGGTTTTCACAGTTATCATAGTTATGTATATGTTGGTTTTCAGGACTACTGGGAGCCAGGAAAGGGAGATGAGTATAGGATAAGTGAAAATAGTACAAAGCTTATTATTTTTACTGATATTCAGAGTTCTGAAAAAGTTGATTTTGACAGTTTGTACTGATGTTTTCATTGCTTGTATGGAGAAAGAGAGTTTCAGAGGTACTTCCTATAAAATTGTTTTAAGAGTATTTTTAAAGATAGGATGGGAAAAGTCATAGAAAGGTAATATTTTTTGAAATGCATGACCTGAGGGTTCTTTGAGGGAAAGGTGAGCTAATTATTATGTTACAGAAATTATGTATTATTTATATATTTCATAATATGTTTATAAAGATATATGATGCATATATACACGTTCATGCAAATTATTGTGTTACCTAAAGATAATTATTTGGGATAAAATACAAACAAGGTTATATTCCACATGGGATTTTCTTTAGAGGTTTACGCTATAGGTGTACTGAATAGGGAAGTAAGCAGAGTTCACTGGTCTCAGAAAGTTCTCTCTCTCTCTTTTTCTTTGCTGTTGTAGGTGTACAGAGCCAATGGGCCAGATGGAGCTGTTGGCAGAGGCCAGAGAATCCACCTGCAGTTATGGGACACAGCAGGGCAGGAGAGGTAGGCGGTCCTCCGTTATGCATGTGCTTCTTCCTGGAGGAAAGGGAAAAGCAGCTACACTTTTCATACAGGGACCCGAGCTGGAAGAAGCCAGCTGATCAGGTCATTTGCACCTGGATAAGCCATGCTGCCAAATTAGCAGGAAATTTGTCAGTCTGAGTTGATAATGGTGGCTTTATTTCATACAAAGTCACAGGAAAAAATGAATCTTTTTCAAAATGGATCAACCTTACTTATGGTCTCTTTTTTGTTTTCTTCATTTTTAAAAGGCTTATACACTTTTCTCCATTGACCTTGGCTATTTACCCAGCCACACAAAAGCCACAGAGGTATAAAGGGGAGAAGAAAAGTAGGTTTACAGTTATTCGTATGGGAAAATGTACAATAATTAATAAATAATAATACAAGAATACACTTTCGTGGACTCGCGATTGCAAACCTACTTTTGCCCACCCCTGTCTGTATTATTCTTGAAAACCGAGTGGAAAATCTGGTTGGAATTAATCCATATGGTCAGAGTTGCTTAACCAAAATTAGCCACATGGAATCTTGATGTAAAATTGCTTTTCGTTAGCTAAGGTTTCAGATTTTTCTCTCAGATTCTTTGAAGGCTTTTTAAAAACTTTTCATTATGGAAAACTTCAAGTATATAATGAACTCATGTATTCATTTCCCAGTTTCAACAGTCATCAAGCTGTGGCCAATCTTATTTTATGTATGCCCCTCATTTCTATTCACTCCCTCTCCCAAATTATTTTTAAGCAAATTCCAAATATCAGATTATTCATTCCTAACTATTTTGGTATGTATCTCTAAGGATAAGAACTATTATTGTAAAAATATTGATTAAAAATATTTGAGAAAGCTTAGAAAATTAGATGACAAATTCATACCAGTATTTTCTTCCTTGGAGCCTGTGTCTGTCCATTGTAGGGTTTGTATAAAGGCAAAGTAAGAGGTGTGAATAGGACTGGTGGAGGGAGAGAGGGGAGACGGCAGGATAAAGCCTTGGAAGAGAGAGTACCAAAAAGGAACGGGGACTGAGTCATTATTACTACCACCTTAACGCCTGAGATTGAAATCAAAAGGTCATGAAACACATTGTAATGTCAAGTCAAGCCAACCTTCACTGGACAAGGAAAACATACATAGCAAGCTCCATTGTTTGGGTCTAATTAACTCTCAGTTGGACAATAAATTCCTGGGTGATGCTAAAGGATCATGAACTAGTTCTGTCATCCCTGTCCAGCGGGCTAGGTTTTTGAATCACATGGTCTGTTAATACATAAACTTACAGAAGTGACAAATAACTGTCTTATGTACTTTTGGAATATCAGCACCTAATTTGTTTAAAAAAATTCTTTTCATTGATATAGGTTATTTTTATTTTAAAAGATTGTTCCAAGTATAACTTTTGATAATTGTTGGCTTTTTTAAAAGTCTGAATATTTTTCGATTATTCTTGCTCTAGATAGCTATTTATTATATTTTGTAAGATACCTAATATTGATTATACTCATAACTTTATACTATTAAATTGTCATTTATAATCACATTTTTCACTAAATCTAGTATAACTAAGAGCTATAACATTCATGTATAATGTGAAATTATTATAAACAATGGCACGTTATTAAACATCTAATTTGTTATTGATGAACTATGGTGAGAGGCTGAGGGCACTGGTGGTAGCTTTATGTTTCAGGAACAGGGCCATGGTTTAGGTGATCAGTCTGCTTTTATGTCCCTAGGTTTCGGAGCTTGACAACAGCATTCTTCAGAGATGCTATGGGATTTCTTCTGCTTTTTGATCTGACAAATGAACAAAGTTTCCTCAATGTCAGGAACTGGATAAGTAAGTGTTATTGTCTCCCTGCCTCCCACTCCCTACAATAAAATGCCCTCTTATATTCTACTTTTGTTGTAAATTGACTTGGGAGAAATCCTAGTGCTGTTTAAAATGCTATATAAAGGAGCATGGCTATTAGTTTAGGGGAAAAGATAACTAAAATATTCTGCTTTTTCTAATAATACCAACTTTGATGTGTTGAATACTTCCCATGCTCCAGGTATAAGGCCCTGCTTTCCATGCAAATCTCTTAATCAGTCTTTCCCACAGAGGAGACTCATCCCTCTTTTATAGATGAGGATATACAGGCCTAGAGGGGTTAAATCACTAAGTATCTGCTTGCCTATTGTGTGCTATCAAGTCTTGTATCATCCCAGGGTTTAAAACATATATTACACAGACTACATACAAGGCTTAATGGGTTAGACCCCTGGCTGCATGTCTCTTCTATGCTTAGAGGCCCCTTCTCTGTTTTGAGGGCCAGGCATTTGCCTGGAGGACTCTAGAACTCCATTGGCAAAAGTGGTCCCAGCACTGTGTGTGTGTGTGTGTGTGTGTGTGTGTGTGTGTGTGTGTGTGTGTGTTTGTGTGTGTCTATATATATCTTCATTTTGGCTTTTTGGAGAGATACTAATCTAAAATCCTGCTACTGGACCAAATAACAGCTTGCGAATGTACATTTACCTTTATAAGTTGCATTAGTATAAACCTAGAAAATCTATTGGGAAAGGCTCTGATGTTAAATTTTTAACATACAAATCTTTATAATGAAAACACTTAAAAATTACCTCCTACTTCAAAATTACTTGGTGATTTGTTAGTATTGGCTGTGGCTGTTTTTGTTTTATTTTGTTTTGTTTTCAAATCCTCACTCGAGGATATTTTTCCATTGATTTTTAGAGAGAGGAAGAGAGAGGGAAAGACAGAGAGAAAGATCAATGTGAGAGAAACTCACTGATTGGTTGCCTCCTGCACATGCCCTAACCAGGGCCTGGGCAGGGGAGGAGCCTGCAACCGAGGTACATGCCCTTGACCAGAATCAAACTCAGGACCCTTCAGTCTGCAGGTTGACACTCTATCCACTGAGCCAAACTGGCTAGGGCATTGGCTGTGGTTTTGATAATAGAAAACCATAGTTCTGTTTTTTAATTTTATTGTACTAGAGGCCCGATGCACAAAATTCATGCAGGAGTAGGCCTTCCCTTCCCGCTGCTGGCACCGGCTTCCCTCTGGCACCCAGGACCCAGGCTTCCCTTGCAGCCCTGCCTTCGTCCGGAAGGTCGTCCAGAAGGACATCTGGTCTAATTAGCATATTATGCTTTTAATATTATAGATTAGAGTTTACATTTAATATTATTTTGTATTAGTTTCAGGTATACAGCATAGTGGTTAGACAATCGTATACTTTACAAAGTGTTCCTTCTGGTATTTCCAGTACTGAATTGGCACTGTACATAGTTATTACAATACTAGAGGCCCTCTGCATGAATTTCACGCATTCGAGGGGGTCCCTCAGCCTTGCCTTCTCCCTCTCACAGTCCGGGAGCCTTCAGGGGATGTCTGACTGATGGCTTAGGCTCACTTCCCCCCAGCCACCTGCTGCTTGGTGCACTGACTGCTACATCTCCCGAAGGGTCCCAGACTGCTAGAGGGATGTCCGATTGCCGCGGGATCAGGCCTAGGCCAGCAGTCGGACATCCCCCGAGGGATCCCAGACTGCAAGAGGGTGCAGGCCAGGCTGAGGGACTGCCCTCCCTCCCCATGCAAGAATTTTGTGCACCGGGCCTCTAGTTATAAATAATGCTGCAATGAACATAGGGGTGCATATATTCCTTTGAATTAGTTTTTTGGGTGTCTTTGGATATATACCCAGAAGTGGAATCACTAGGTTATAAGGCAGTTTCCTTTTTAATTTTTTAAGGAACTTCCATACTGCTTGCCAAAGTGGCTGCGCCAATCTGCATTCCCACCAACAGTGCATCTGGGTTCCCTTTTCTCCATATCCCTGCCAACACTTGTTTGTTGATTTATAGATGATAGCCTTTCTGGCAGGTGTGCAGTGATATTTCATTGTAGTTCTACTTTGTATCTCTCTGATGATTAGTGATGTTGAGCATCTTTACATATGTCATATGGCCCTCTGTATCTTCTCTTTGGAGAAGTGTCTATTCAGGTCCTTTACCCATTTTCTAACCAGATTGTTTTGTTTTTTTTGGTGTTAAGTTGTTTATAAAATTTGGATATTAACCCTTACTGGATGCATCATTGGTGAATATCTTTTTTCATTTAGTAGGTCGTGTTTTCATTTTGTTGATGGTTTCCTTTGTTATGCAAAACCTTTTAAATTTGATGTAGCCCCATTTGTTTATTTTTTCTTTTGTTTCTCTTGCCAGAGGAAATTATCAGAAAAACTATTGCTAAGAGAAGTGTCTGAGATTTTACCCCTTATGTTTTCTTCTAGTTTTAAGGGTTTTGAGTCTTACATTTACATCTTTAGTCCATTTTGAGTTTTTTCTTATATATGGTGTAAGAAGGTGGTCTAGTTTATATTTTTCATGTGCCTGTCCAATTTTTCAACACCATTTACTGAATAGATCTCCTTTATCTCATTGTATATTCTTGGCCTCAGTCAAATATTACTTGATCATATTGGCGTGGGTTTATTTTGGGACTTTCTATTTTGCTCCATTGATCTTTTAAAAAAATATATTTTTATTGATTTCAGAGAGGAAGGGAGAGGGAGAGAGAGAGATAGGAACATTAATGATGAGAGAGAATCATTGATTGGCTTCCTCCTACTGGGGATCGAGCCCATGAGCATGTGCCCTGACCTGGCATCGAACTGTGATCTCCTGGTTCATAGGTTCATGCTCAACCATTGATCCACACCAGCTGGGCAGTTTTCATAGTTTTTTGATGGAACCTTCCCCTTATTTGGGTGACCCAGAAGTGTACATTCTGTAGGTTAGGTGAGCCCTCCTGTTGTAGTTTAGTCTTGATTGCTCTTGGCCCATTCATGGGTGGGGTTGGCTCTCAGGCTCACTGACTGTGAGGATTGACCTTGTCACAGTGTATGAGCTGCTATGTGAGGGTTGACCCCACAAAGCAGAACTTGCCCCAGCAGGGTCCGGTGCCTGATGAGCCCTCCCCTTTTTAAAATATATTTTTATTGATTTCTGAGAAGAAGGGAAAGAGAGAGAGAGAGAGAGAAACATCAATGAGGAGAGAGAATCATTGATTGCTGCCTCCTGCATGTCTCCCACTGGGGACCGAGCCCACAACCCAGGCATGTGCCCTTGACTGGAATGGAACCCAGAACCTTTCAGTCCTCAGGCTGACACTCTATCCACTGAGCCAAACCAGATAGGATGGAGCCCTCCCTTTGAGCTGCTGCTTGTGGAGCTACTCAGTTCGTGTTCTTTTTAAAAAATGTTTTTATTGATTTCAGAGAGGAATGGAGAAGGAGAGAGAGATAGAAACATCAATGATAAGAGAGAATCATTGATTGGCTGCCTCTTGCACACCCCCACACTGGGGATTGAGTTCACAACCTGAGTGTTTTCCCTGACCAGGAATCAAACCGCGACCTCCTGGCTCAACCGCTGAGCCACGCCTGCCAGGCTCGAGCACTTTATAAGGACTCTTGTTAGATATGTTCTCATAGAATTTTGACACCGAAAAAGAATAAACCCACTTCTTTTTCCATTGGTAGAAAGGGAAACTGAGACGTTAGATAAATCTTGCCCTTCTGGGCTTTATATATTTTAGATAATAGACAAAATTATGTGAAATTATGGGTATGTATGTATTTTTCCCCTTAAAGGATAAAAGAGTCCTTACTGCCCAGTTAGGTAAATAAAATATACATATTGAAGATTTCATATCTTCAATGGAAAGTATTCTCCTCTTTTCTAGTCCTGTTTTTTTTAAAGATATAATGTTCAGTGTTAGAGTTGGTAATATCAAATCTTAATTAGAAGTAAACATTTGTTGACTTATACATTTTATTTTTCTTCTCACTTCTAGCATTTCTTCATTTTTATTTAACTTATATAAACTTATTTTACTAATATAACTTCTATAAAAATATTATTTTACTAAATAATAGTTTAAAATATATACATATATACATGTATGTGTATGTATGTATGTGTGTGTGTCTGTGTGTACTAGAGGCCCAGTGCATGAAATTTGTGCAGGAGGGGGGGATCCCCTCAGCCCAGCCTGCACCCTCTCCAATCCAGGACCCCTTGGGGGATGTCCAACTGCCGGTTTAGGCCTGATCCAGAGGACATCCCTCTCACAATTCGGGACCGCTGGCTCCTAACTGCTCACCTGCCTGCCTGCATGATCGCCCCTAACTGCCCCCACCCCCGCCAGCCTGATCTCCCCTAACTTCCCCCCTGCCAGCCTGGTCACCCCAACTTCCCTCCCCTGCTGGCTTGGTTGCCCCTTACTTCCCCCCCACCCCCCCACCGGCCTGGTCGCCCCTCGCAGTCTGCTGTTCAGTCGTTTGGTCGTCCCTCACTAACCCCGCTGCTGGCCTGTTCACCCCATGCAGCCTGCTGGTTGTTACCGTTACTATGATGGCGTCCTGGACAATTTGCATATTCCTCTATTATTAGTATAGATATGTCTGTCTATCTGTCTGTCTATCACAACAAACACAGATTATGGAGCCTCTACCGAGTGTTCCTGATTCAGCAGATCTGGGTTGAGACCTTAGAATTATATTTCTAACTAGAGGCCTGATGCACAAAATTCGTGCAAGGGGCTCGGCTCTCGCAGCCCAGGCTTCATCCAGGAGGTCATCCAGATGGTCATTCTGCCGCTTGGTCTAATTAGCATATTAGCTCTTTATGATATGGGACAAGTTCTTAGGCTGCTAGTCCATGGACTTAACCTGAGTAATCACTGAATTAACTCATTCAATCCCCACTTTAACCCTATGAAGTAAGTGTTAAGTCTGATCAAATAATTGAATTGATATCCCCTCCCCTGGGAAACTGACCTGTAGATCAGTTCACAACTGACATTCCCTTTTGTTTAGACCACATTCCATTTGCTATGGACTTACCCAGGATCCAGACCCACCCAGTAAATTCCCCACCGGAAAAAAACCCGCCTAGAGTCCTTTAAAATCTCTGACTCTCTGTCCCTGGGTGCTAGTGCCATTTTGGGGCTCAGCCCATCTGGTTTCCAGATCATTAATAAATTTATAATTCTTTACCACTTTTGACCTCATGCATTCCTCCTTCGGTGACCCTAACACTAAGTACCATTATTATCGGCATTTACATATGGAAACAGGCACAAAGCAGTCAATAAGTTTCCCAGAGCGGCACAGGTAGCAAATGGCAGAGCCAGGCTTCCACCTTAGCCACACTGGATCCTGAGTTCATGCTTATAACCATGACACTGGACATATAAGGTGTTAACAGAGCACAGAGCCACTCTGGAGACCAGAAAGATTTCACAACAGAGGTAACTAAGAAGCAAGTCTTAGAGGAAGGGTGGGGAGTCCCTGAAGGAAGGTTGTGGTTGGGTATTCAAGGGTGTGGGGACAGCGTGTGTAACAGCCCAGAGGAAAGAAAGGGTGGCTCTTATTGGAAACTACACAGCTTGCCCTGTATAGTTCTTATTTTCCTGCTTGCCCCTTTAGGGCAAAGGTCATTGTTCTGAAATTCTACACCAAGTATCAAGCTGAAATTCATGCCTGCTGCCTTGACTTATCATGTCTGATAAGATAAAATGAACATGACTTCATAATGAGGAACTAAAATGTCAACACTTCTCTGGTTAACCATGTGAGAAATAAATTAGGCCATCAATTTTGTGAAAGCTTGGGCTGTTTTAATTTCATTATGGGGTGTGACAAGTAAAAAATAAGACTTTATTTTCCTTCTTTGGGAGATTAATTACTCAGCTTAATGAATTTCTTTTGTTTGATTTAAAATTATGCCTATTTACCAGTTTTCCAGTGAAAAGAACTAAAAGCTGTGGAATAAGAATTGTAGTCTCCTGCTTTTTCTTGGTTCCGGTGAATGAATCATTGACTCTTTATTCTGGGTTTTCTCTCTTCATTTAATCCTGTATTGTTTGTTAAATGAATTGATTTGGCCTTAGAATAATAGAAAAATATGAGAAACACTTCAGGTAGAAATAGGATAGCTAATAGGAAGACAGCTCTTAAAATTGTGTTTGCTGTGGAGAGGAAATAAGTAAAAAACAATGTTAAGATGAACAAGAAGTAGCCTGGTTGGGTAGCTCAGTTGGTTAGAGCATTGTCCTGATACCCCAAGGTTGTGTGTTTGATTCCCAGTCAGGGCACAAACAAGAATCAACCAGTGAATGCTTAAATAAGTAGAGCAACAAATCGATATTTCTTTTTCTCTCTAAAAAAAAAAAAAAAAGATTAGCAATAAGCTCTAGGAAATCCTCTAAGTTTTTTTCAAATGGCCTTCATAAAAAGACTGCTACCTGTTTTTTTGTGTGTGTGCATGCGTGCACATGTGGGTGCACTTGCTCACATGCACACCTTTGGAGGGTTAAGTATTCCCTTTCCTCTCTGATATACATAAGCTGGGGTCTGTGTTTGAGGGCAGGAGTAGTTTCATATCTCTGCCTCATCCATTCAGTTTGATAGATGAAGGCGCTGATGCTTCGAAAGCACTGTATCAGGTCCCTATATCTGTATTTCCATTTAGTTTTCAAAGCACTTTTGCATGTATTCTCCATTGATTATACACTTACATTATTGTTCACCTATAATTCTCTTATCTTCTTACATTAATAGGCCAGCTACAAATGCATGCATATTGTGAAAACCCAGATATAGTATTATGTGGGAATAAGAGTGATCTGGAAGACCAGCGAGCAGTGAAAGAGGAGGAGGCCAGAGGACTTGCAGAGAAATATGGGTGAGTATTTTTGTGGAGAAATCTAGAGAAAACATGTCCAATTTAAACATTAGCACACGAATAAATAACAAAAAAGATAAAAGCAAAAAATAGAAACAAAACACTCAGCTGTAGGCCTTAGGAGGTATCAAATATCTACTTTTCATGTTAATCCTATATAATAACACCCTAATATGCTAATTGACAGAACAGCAGAACGACAAGTCACTATGATGCACACTGACCACCAGGGGGCAGACACTCAACGCAGGAGCTGCCCCTGGTGGTCAGTGCACTCCCACAGGGGGAGCGCCGCTCAGCCAGAAGCCGGGCTCACGGCTGGCGAGCGCAGCGGCAGGGAGCGGGCCTAAGCGGGCAGGAGGACATCCCCCAAGGGGTTCTGGACTGCGAGAGGGCACAGGCCATGCTGAGGGACCCTCCCCCAGTGCACGAATGTTGTGCACCGGGCCTCTAGTATTATATAATAGTGGGGATCATAGAAAAAGTATTGGAGAAGGGCCTTTGTTCAGTTCTTCCGTCCCATTTTCTCAATCTCTTGGTGTTTGAAGAAAGACAGCGTTGAGGGTAGATGTCCTAATTTTGTAAGGCCTCCTTTACAAGATGCAAGTAGGTGCCCCCTGGGATAAGGACATCCTTTATGTTCAACAAGGACATTTCAAAGCCAGTTCATCTATTGCTGTGGAGAGCTCCAGCATACATGAGGGCCTTCTTGGCTTTGAAGTTTCTGTGCTGGGAGAGGAGTGTAAAGATCCCCTGTGGTTTAGGCTGTGCTTTTATGGAGAATCAACTAAAACTGTCTTCGTCCTTGAGCTCTGGGAAGAGGATCGTATAGCAGCAGCATTCATTGGACATAAAAGGAGGGGTCAGCCCTTTTTATCAAAGTGTCAAGGGCACCCTTACACAGGAATTTGTACTTTACTTTTTTTCTGCCTCAAAAAAAATGAGCACCCAAATGTATGTGTATTAATTACCCCTAATATCAGGGGGAGGCAGCCAGTGGGGTTGAGAAGGAAGGGGTGGAGAGAGGAGGAATGTGTGGTGTGGAGGGGTGAGGTCTACAGGGACGGTACCTGGCTAGTGGCTTTGGTTGTTAGAATCCAAAGAGGCCAGAGGAGGCCCTTTCCCTTTTCATTGTCTGAGCGCGGCTGTGCTCTTCCTGGGGCTGATGGAGGTTCAGAAAGCACTCAAGGGTGGGAGTCACACTGGGAAGAGAGTGCAAGGATAGGTTGGCCCCGTGGGAACAGGCCAGAGGCTGCAAAGCTTTGAATATCACCTCAGGAGAGTGAAATTGGTTTCCTGGGGGACAGGGAGTTGCTGAAAGCCTTTGAGCACAGAGGGTTGTCATCAGCACTTTTCCAGATCAGTCAGGGTGGGCAGGGGGTGGGGGGGCTGTGAGGGGGGTATGGCAGGAGGAGAGGGGAGATGGAACAGGAGGAAAGACTGGAGACAGGGAGATTGCAGTGATCTGTGAAGTAGAGAGGGGCTGGACTTGTGGAAAAGGAAAAGGAGTAAATCAGAGAAAATACACAGGGTCAGGGTCAGGCAGAACAGGATTTTACATCTTAAATCCAGCACCAGGAAGGGTGTGGTTCCCATCAACTAGGCTGGCTCACGCTGGTGAGGATCTGCAGTCAGATGTGGAGGTTTTCACTCAGGGTAGAGGGTGGGGAACCATGTTAGAAGCATCTGGGGAGCTTTTAACAAATACTCATGTTCGGGCCTCACCTCTGAGCTTCTGACATAATTGGTCTGGAGTGGTTTACCAGGCAGGGTTCCGTGAACAAACATACTTACAGAGGGGTTTGACTTTATGCTCTCGTGGAGCTGGGTAGGCAGTCTCTGCCAGGTGTAGTTTCGTGTCTGATGCTGAAGCTTGAGGTCCAGAGGACAGGCAGTCAGGAAGGGAAGCTGGACCCACAGTGGGAGAGAGCAAGAAGCAGCCGGACCCATACTTACTGACCCAAACCTTGTCAGTCATTGTCGCCTCTGAACTGGATGGTGTGGGTGTCCTGCAGCAGCCAGGGCTCTGCTCACCGAGCTAAACCCTCACACCTGGCCCAGGAGTTGGAGAAGCTGGAGGAGGAGCTAGGGGAAGATGGAGCAGGTGCAGGTCTGGCTGCTGGCTTATGCCAACGAGATGAGCCAGCAGGTAAGCAACAACGTGTGAGAGCTACAGAATAGCTTCTGCTTCACTTCCGTCCCCCAGATCTCTCTGTGGTCCGACCTACCTGGGAAGGGAATTCTGGGAAATGTCATTGACATATTCAAAGCCACCACAGGTGGGGGCCTGGACATTGGTATCTTTCAAAGCTCTCCATGTGATTGCATGCACAGGGGTTGAGATATGCTCTCTTCCTCCCTTGAGAGGCACTCCTGTAATGTAGTGGGAGGGATCAGATACCACAAGAACACAGCATTGAAGCTGGGAGCCATGTTGCAAGGAGGTGAGGAGGAAGTAAGTGATGAAGCAATGGAAACCACGGGCCTAGACCGTGCTTTTGAGAAGTGTGTTAGTAAAGGTCAAAAGAACAAAACCTAGGGCAGCCAGTGCAGTTAGCTACATCAAACAAGTATATTCTCAAGTCTGGGGCAGAGTCGGGATTGACTTCCTCCTCCTCCGAGCTTCTTCAGCCCTTTGCTGGTTTCCTTGGTTCATTCCATATCCTGCCTGAGCCTGAGGTTGCTTTCGGACTCTGTGGGGAATCTGGGGATACAGGGATTGCTTTTCATCTGTGCTCAGATTACAGGTTTGGGGAGTATTTTAAAGAGAGAGGCTCAATCGAAAGTTTCTGGATTGAATAAAGATGAGGAGAGATGGGATTAGCAGATAAGGGAATTGAAACTATTGGAGAAGAATGGAAAGGAATGGAAACAAAATTCCTTTAACATTTAGGAAGTATAGAGTATAGTTCTTTAGGCTGTGCCCTGCCCGGGAACTGAACTGTGACCTCCAGGCTCATGGGTCAATGCTCAACCACTGAGTCACACCAGCTGGGCATGACATATCTACATATCATTTGTATGTTGTCTGATAAATTTGCATTTTTGTTACTATTGTGCTGCCTTCTATCCTCAATTCATAAAAATAGATCAGTATGCCCTAGCCAGTTTGGCTCAGTGGATAGAGCATCGGCCTGCGGACTGAGGGGTCCCGGGTTCGATTCCGGTCAGGGGCATGTGCCTTGGTTGTGGGCACATCCCCAGTGGAGGTGTGCAGGAGGCAGCTGATTGATGTTTCTCTCTCATTGATGTTTCTAACTCTCTAACTCTCTCCCTTCCTCTCTGTAAAAAATCAATAAAATATATTTTAAAAAAAATAGATCAGTGGTTCACAAGTGATTCTCTGAAATATACATTCAGAGAATGACACACTGTGTCTCAGAAAAGCTTTGCAAACCTAACAAAGGAAGTGTTAAGTGCAAATACGGAACATACATCTGTGTGTGCTGGGACAAGGAAATCAGAGAATGAGAACTCCATGCAGCAGCCCGAAATGGAAAGAGCGAGCTGAATGCATGATGATGACTATCAGGAAATTTAGTTTTAGTAGACTAAGAATCCATTATCCCTAATTTCCTGCAGAATCTTTTTTGCTATAGACTTGGTTAAATTGTAATATGATGTTCTTAAGCCACTTCCTAGCACAACAAAGTGGATTATTGGTAAACCAATCAAGTTCTTGTAGAACAAGTGCAAAACAATGCTTTGCAGCATGTTACATTGAATAATATTGTCATTGAAGTCAGAGGAGAGAACAAAATAGAGGTTTGTTCAAATTTTTAGTCCCACCAGTAAAAACTATTACAAGTCAACCTGTTGCTGAAACATTTTTAAGAACAGTTACAAAGCCCTGGCCTGTGTTTTTCAGTGGTTAGAGCATGACCCGTGAACCAAAGCGTTGGGGGTTCAATTTCCTGGTCAAGGACCTGTACCTGGGTTTAGGGTTCAATTCCCCACCCTGGGGACATGTGGGGGGGGGGGCAACCAATTGATGTCTCTCTCTCACATTCATATTTTTTCTCCCTCCCTCCCTCCCTCCCTCCCTTTCACTCTCTCTAAAAGTCGGTGGAAAAATATCCTCAGGTGAGGATTAACACACACACACACACACACACACACACACACACACACACACACAGAATAGCCACAAAGTCAGTGACAAAGATAGCAGAAGAGAGCAGTATTGCCAACATTCCTCCTGTAGGTGACGCTGTCGGAGCTGAAGCTTTAGTGTGCATCAGAATCACCTGAGAGTTGTGTCCCACCATTTCTGATTTTGGTAGATGCTGCTGCTGGTGGTGGTTGAGGACGGCGAGAACCACTGGTGTAGATGCCAAGTAACTGTCAGGTGTGCCTGCTGGCAGACACTTTCCTGGACAAAATAGCTGGACAGAACACTTACGCCCAGAATAGAAAGCACTTGTCTACTGATACCATGCATGGGTGAGGGTAACGTGCTCAGTGACTTCTCATTGGAAAATCTATGCTAAAAAGAAAAAGGATTTTTTTCTCTCACACAGTTCATTGCGCCAGCTGTGATATAGATTGGGGGGGGGGGGCACTAGGATTGGTACGGAGGGAGCACCAGCCTCAGTAGGCAAGCAAGGACCTTACTCTGGTTGCACCTAAATTCCTCCCACACTCTGCTTTACTTACAGAGGATAGTTGGTGGTCATTAGAAGACTTTGTCCTTGATTCAGAGTTGAGAATAATACAGAAAATTGTGAATGCGATGAGAACATGATGATTGAATGTACATATTTCATGTGCTGTGCCAAGAAATAGGCAGCAAATGTTTAAACACTGAGATAATTGACATATAATACTGTATTAGTTTTTGGTGTACAATATAATGATTTGATGTGTGTATATATTGCAAAATGATTACCAAAATAAGTGTAGTTAACACTCATCACCACATATAGCTACACTTTTTTTTAGTGTGTGACGGGAACTTTTAAGGTTTATACTTTTAGGGGCTGCAAAATTAAAACAACTTG